GTTATTGTGTTCCCTTATTCAAATGTGTAAATGACTTTTTACAGAAAGACGAAAACTTGTGCCTGGCGAAGAAACTTATCACGGAATGGAATTCTAAGAAGAGCAACTAGATAATTTTATATAAATATTGTGAATTGTGATATATTATGTAATTGCTATAATTATATTTTTATACATTGTTACTGCCATCTCAAATATATTTCTCTGTTTTTATATTTTATTTTTGCTTTTAAACTAAATTAAGCTGAATCAAACAAATTTTGTCTACAAAGAGACTCGATGTCCAGTTAATATTGTCTAAGTTATTGTTTATTATTAAAATAAAGAAACCAAGCGTTAAAATCGATTGTTTTATTCAAATCAAAAATTTGATCGTCTCAAAATAGTATAACTTTTGATTTGAACCATATTGCTAGTATAATGAGCTTCATTATTGATTGTTGATCACACGTTACTGAAATGGATGGTTTACGAGGTGAAATCTCCACGAAGCCACCGTTTGGCGTCTCTTGTGTCATTCCCGTAGGTTTTCCCAAACCTGGAAAGAAAAATGATAGGAATAAATACATAGTTGATACAATACTTGCCTGTACTAAGATGAATCGGTTAAAACATATACTCAAAAATATCTGGAACAATTAGACTTTATAATAAATCTAGAATAGATTGAAAATATGACTACTTTAAACGACAATTCAAAACGTCTTGTCAAATAAAAAAATATGCGTACCTTCACGAGCGGTACGATTTTGACGCGTTTAACCTGATACAGATTACACCTACAAATAAAAAGCGCCACTGAACTTGTATAGACGTCATACCCAGTATGACTTTAGTATACTTACATAATAAAAAAAATCGACCTTTCTAACACATTCACACCCAATGTAATAATGTTGTCACGTTGTACAGAATGCTTAAAATTATTAAATGTCTAGACCACTTAACCTAGGACAGATAAGCATTAAAGCAACAAGGTATAAAGCTGACCTTCGTAGAAAAACGCTATAATAAGGATTTTAATAATCTGGCAACGTTAGCAATGTCGGTTGCACGATTATAAGGGTCCTAGCGTGGTTCGAAATTAGTCGAGGAATCTCTAAATTCAACCAAATTATACAATTCAATGAAGTAGCTTGATATATGTAAGACCCTGTTCCCTTTACCTGAACATGCACCCAGGAACGTGACCGGCGTAGTTTGGCAGCATACCGACGTGCTTGTGGTAGATTTCCGTCGGGTTTATTGACAGCGGCGGGTCCGGTCTGTAAGGTTAGGAAAAGCATGGGTGGTCTGTTCGAGACTATTTCGAAATCTTTAGAGGTTTAGGACAAGAAACGGTTTAATACTTGTATTAGATTTTATAAAAGTACCTAGTATTTTATTTAACTTTTTATTTTTATTTTATTGCAAACTAGCTGACCCGGCGAACTTCGTACCGCCTAAAATTTTTATTCTTTTAAACCTTCCCTGGACTTCCATGAACATTTCAAGACCAAAATTCTCCAAATCGGTTCAGCCGTTCTCGAGTTATACTGAGACTAACGAACGGCAATTCATTTTTATTTATATAGATAGATAGGTAGGTTCAAAGTAACACTTTTACACATAAATCTTTAAATTACTAGATGAGAGGCCCTCATGATGATTTACCAACTGACTATTTTGAGAAGGAACGCCGAAATAAACTCAGAGGTCATTGTCTCCTTTGACTCGTCGAGTACCGGTTGTGCAGACACAATTATAGAACAATAGGTTGCGGTCACCGGTGACCGCTTGGTATTTGACAGTTTAAAGTCCAGACAGATTATAACTATAACGTACGAGAACCGTGTAAGTTGGTTCTGTTGTGGTCTTTTGAAGAAATATTCACAACAGTTTGAGCGAACCTATTCTGATGGATTGATTGATGGATGATTTTACCTATAATAAGACATTAAGTAGGTACCTACTCAGTTTCTCTCTTACTTTTCTCTGTTAACCCATTTCTTACTTACCAAATACATCTGCATTAAAGCTGGAAAAAAAAACATTTAAAAAAATGAAACAATTTTTTTTTAACTTCACCATAATATATTCAGTAAAGTACATTCTTATTATTACATCATAATATACTTATAGTACATCTGTTTAATTATTTACTATCACATAAGCATTTTGACCATATATGGTCCTTCGAGATGGTATCCAATCTTTGCATAATAGTTTCTGGTGCCGACTCCTGAGATCACGGCTATCTTGTCAGAGCCATGTTCTTCTTTGGCTATTCTTTCTGCTTCCTCCATGAGCAACATGCCAAAACCTTGATGCTGAAACTTGGTTGGATCTCTTGCATTCACCTGGAATCGTTTTAAACTTTATTGTCATAGATATAGGGATTAAATCCTGTGTTTATTTGTATGATGTTGTCATAGGCTAGTTTCCGATAAGTCTCATTATATCTACACTTTTCATGTACGTAATAATATGGCAAAAGATATTTTTCTCGAATTTTATATGAGATCGTCATATTTCGTAATATTTTTGCGCCAAATAGCATACTTATTTCTGAAAAATTCGAAACCTTAGCTCATCGTCAAATCAATTAATGACATGTAATTATGATATGACATAAATATCAAAACTAATAACTTACAGGCACAACAGATCCATAAACATGAAGCTCTCTAACAATACTGCACTGTTTGAAGTTAGCATTAGGCCCAGGCTTCAGCTCTGGCCTGTATGTGTCTGAGGCACACTTTCTGAGCCTCAGTAGACCAACCAATATGTCCTGGTCAGGGTCCTCATATGCTAGGAATGTCTCCCAGCCTCCGTTCGCTGTGTAGTCACGTCTTATTAGTTCTACCTGAAATTGGTAATGAAAATTAGAAAAACGTAAAAGGAACATTTAGTTAAAATATCACATATATGTATATATTTTTTTGGTGTATCGAACACATAGAAAGACAAAGTGTTTAAAGAGACATCCGGCGTCAAGGATTTTAGACCAGCTCCTTGATCACTGGTTTCCTGCCTAGATAACTACCACATATACATATATGGACCCAAACATCAGTTGGCATCCTCAGATTCATTAATTTTGACCTTGTAGGCCTTATTGCAACAGTGAATAAATCTACATATCTTTTTATGGAAACAATATATTGAAAACCTTAAATAATTTGGAACAAACCTCATAAGGCCTGACTCTATTATGTATCTCCTGGATGCCGACCTCCCTGGTCCTGACATCCCTACAGTCTGTGCCCAAGTCTGCCATGCGAGCCAGAGCCAGCTCCCTCAAGTTACCATGTTCTACACCAGACGAGACCAGAGGCATGGGAATGTCTCTTTGTACTCTGAAAAGTATATAAATAATATTTCAATTTATTTTATGAAAAAATCTTACACAGCCTATACAAGTTCAGCATAGGCAATCGATCTACACCATCGAACACTGACAGACTATTTTATAGAAGGAAAAATTTAATAAATTTTTGCATGGCAAAGATAACTACAGTTTTTCCAAAGTAAGCTACAGCGCAGAAAGAACTTATTGTTTACCTGTAAACCCTAGTCCAAGGAGGTATCAGAGCCAATATCTTAGCGATCAGATCTACCAAAGTGGAAGGAGGGTAGCTCCTGTACCGACCAGTCTTCCACAACTCATATAGCCCAGTTCCTCGGATCACTAGAGTGGGGTATATCTTGAGACCATCAGCTCTGAATGCTGGGTTCTCAAAGAACTCAATAAACTGTTCCACATCCCTCTCAAAGTCCACATTTGGTAAATCTGGCATCATATGTGCTACAATCTGAAAGCAAAATTATCAATTACTCGCTTCTGCCCGCGACTTCGTATTCGCAATCCCGTTTTTTCCCGTTTGTGATTTTCGGTAGAAAGTAAGTACAAAAAATTATTGGATAAAAGGTATCCTATGTCCGTCTCCTGGTTCTAAATTAACACATCACCAAGAATCAATCTATCTATTAAAAAAAACGCAGCAAAATCTGTTGCGTAATTTTACAGATCTAAGCATACATAGGGACAGACAGACGGCGGATAGTGACTTTGTTTTATACTATGTAGTGATTTGGTACTCTTGAATTAAAAAAACAATTAGTTGATAAAAAGAAATCCCATTTGATTAGTATGTTGATATACTTGGACACCATTCTGCAAGTGTGACTGCCGGGTAAGGGGTCTCGGGTTCGATTCCCGGGTCGGGCAAAGTATTACTGGTTTTTTTTTTTAATCTCAGTAGTAGCACGGAGTCTGGAAATGTGCCCGGTATATGGTAATAGGCTCACCCCCTTTTACATGGGACTCATAACATAATTAGTGAAAAGTGGATTTTACATTGTATAGTGGCATAAAGTGTAGTAATGTGCACCGCTGGCTACCCCTTCTGGGATAAAAAGCGTGATGTTATGTTATGTTGGACACTATTCTATACAGCGGTACCAAGCAGTTGAAAATGGGCTCTGTAAAGGCAAAAATTGTTTTAGTACCTTATAACCAGCATCCTTAGCAAGGTTGAAGTTTTCACAAACAGCTTTAACTGTGTGCCCTCTGTTTGTGTCTCTGGCAATATCCTCATACACTGACTGGACACCAATTTCCAATCTGAAATGTTTAAATGAGTATCTTGAGTATTATGTTATCAAGATTTCCTGCCTTATCATAGGATACAGATCTACTAACTACTACTACTACTGAATATAGATTCAGTTTATGATTAAATGGTTTTAATAAAACAATTTTCTAAATAGTGTTAATTACCTAGTGCAGCCATAATTGAGCATATCACTCATATGTCTCTGCAGACAGTAGTCTGGTCTGGTCTCAATAGTGATACCAATACACTTGGTCTTTGCTTTCTCTGAGTACTTCACAGCTTCTGCTACACAAGTTGATGTGTGTCCTGAGAGAGCATCATGAAGATTTCTAAAACAACAAAATATATTATTAACTTGAATATAGAGTGCAAACTATAAAAAAATCTTATTTCAAACTGATAAGATTCTAATTTGTAAATTTCTGATCATCTTACCTGATAAAATAGTCTCTGTAATCTTCAGGGAGACTCATAAAAGTGCCACCCATCACAATAAACTCAACTTTATCGACACTGTGACCGAGTTGCTTCAACTGTTCTACTCTGTGGCGCGTCTGCAAATACGGATTATACCTGGCTCTGATTGCCCTCATGGAAGTAGGCTCATATCCTGTGTAACTTTGTGTAGAATACTCAAAGTCCGAGTCTGGACCTCCGGGACAGTATACACAAATGTTACCGGTGAAGTTTATGTGTGGACATCTATGTGGTTTACACATCACTGCGACCACGGCAATACCCGACGCAGTACGAATTGGTTTCGCCTTCAACTTCGGCAATAGGATCTTCTTAGCATCAGCCGGCACTGCGGCGATTATATCCACCAGCCTTGGTGACGTTCCCAGTCCGTACTTCGATGAAATCCTCGTTTTCATCTTGTTGAGGTTAACATCTTTGCCCTGCCGATGTGCCACTAACAACTCTTGTATTATCTCAGATATCACCATCACCATCTTCTCTTCTTTAGAAAGATTGGGCATTAGTTTCTTTTTCGCCATTTTGATATATTAATAAACTTTATAGAAAATAAATAAATTGCGCGTGTAACCTATTTTGCTTACACAATTTCACTTTGACAGTCATTTGACGTTGACATTGACAACTCCCTAAGAAGCAAAACTCGTTCGGAAATTATAAAAAGAAATAACGACGAATATAAATTTATAATTGCTTAGTTAAAATATATTACAAATATTGCTTACTTACGACAAAAACATAAAATATAGGTAAATCATTTGATTTATGATTGAATACTTACTTGACTACATTCACTGGTGCCCATTCAGTACTTTGTCTTCGCCTGTAGTTAGATGAAAAGTCACAAAGTGCAGAGTTTGTGAGCTTTTTCGACGACTCACCAAATCTTTGGAAACCGTATGGAACATGACCCGAAAATCCTATTAACAAACAGAATAAACTTATCTAATGTGCCATAACCTCATAAAGAGCACCGGTGCAGGTAAACAACTAAACATGCGTTATGAACTCACGCACTGATTGCGAAGGATTAAACCCCCATATTTGATTTCGCACGAATGAAGCGTGTAGTTTTCCGTAAGACATTTATATCTAAAACGTATGTGGTTTTCATAACAAAACAAAAAACATTTACACGATTACTTATTGACAGGTAGGTAAACATTCACGTTGTCATGGATTCAATAAATCTTTAAAAAAGTTTTTACATAATTATAGTCTTCAAGTAAAAAGTATTATGGGTTTATTGCTACCCTCACCTTTCTTGATATATTTTTCAGGATGACCGTTTTCCAAGAAGTATGGACTAACAGAATGTGATGCTGGTGACAGTTTTGGTTCATCCATTGGTACGTCACGTAATATTCCTGCACATTCTGGTCGCACAGTGACTAATGGGAGCTTGAACTCGGCTGTTGCGGACTGTGGATTTCAAAAACATTTACTATCAAAATCTATTCCAAATGGAAACTTTTCTTGCGTGTCCTTTCATTCTTCTTTCTTTATTCATCTCCATTCACGTTTGTCCTTACTTTACTTGTCCATATGTTTATTTTCTTAGTGTTCTTTCCAAAAAAATTGTAAAAGAAATCCACTCCATTTGCATAATACTGCGTGAAACTTACGAATCTATCGAGCAGGTCCCAAGGCTGTCCTTTCCCGGCTTGCAAGTCGACCACTCTTTCTAACTGGTTCCTTGCTGCTCTCTGGTTGAGTTGAACCCTTTGAAATTCTGACAGCGCTTCTGTCGCAGCGACAGTGTACCGCTGTCCAAAGTGGTTATTCAATCGTGGGAGGAACCCTATATCATTCCAATTTTTATTAAAACTTAACATTATCCATTACTTAGTCGAAAAAAAATAATGGGTCCGTATTTTGAATTTTACGGGTATTCAAAAAGAAAATTGCTATATTGGATTCAGCATTTAAACACAATTCTTCTCAGGAATCCAATGAATTGATGTTGCAAACAAAACATCAAATGTAAGTATGATTATCACCACAAATCTTACTGCACCTATTTTCTATAGCTATTAGATATCTAGAAGATAAATCCATAAAGATCACTTCTCTGTCCTATCTACGCACAACAAAATAGTAAATAAAACACAGTCTGTTAGTTTCTCGAATAGTGGTCACAAAACAACTGCTCGCTCGCCATCTGATACTGTGACATAACTAGAACAACGATTGATAAAGAACGAGTAGGTACCGTTTTATTCGAAGATTATGCACATATTTTATACGTCTTAGATTTTATAACATAACGCACTGGAGACAACACTCAACGTTTTCCGTTTCAAGAAAAATCGTTGATCTTGTCCTCTTATATCCTTTGGCCATTGCTTCCATGTGTGCGACTTTTGTGCAAGTCCGCGTGCAGTTTTCTCGTAGGCACTCATTTTAAATGTGTGCGTTAAATTCGCTCATACACGTGATTACCTCGACCCTTAATAAAGGTCGATTAAAAAATGTCTAGGCTATAGGACGCCGTTTCCAGTCAATAATACGATCTAGTCTATGCTCTGAAATATCGCGTGAGATTTGAGGCCAACGGACATCTGTTTAGAACATTCATCTCGATAAATAAGGCAGTTGTCTCGCAGGAAATATCAAACGATCACTTTTTATGTTCGTATAAACTTCATCATAAGGTATGAAATCTAGATCAGCTTTGAATGATTTAGAGCCGATCTGGTGAATTTCCATTGCATTCCTATTACCTATGTTAAACATATCTTTTGAATCTTTTAGAGAATAGTAACTACATGAATTACTGATGCCGATTGTTAACGTGGTTTTAATTGATAGATGTATGGACGTTTTTTGTATGAGTAAAACGTAAAAGCCAGTTTCAAAAGAAATGGTCAATAAATGATAGCAATAACACCCACGCCTATTTACTTTAAATATTGCTTAACACCATCACTGCAGTACGTAATCAACGCGCAAACAATCTAACAGCCGAATCAGCAATAAATACTATCGGTCTGACAATGTATATGCAAATTCTGTGTAAATTAATAGCCACCACAAACTGCCTACGTAAATAGTGCAAGCATTCAACTGTAGGGTTTAAGGTGCACTAACAACGCTGAATGGTGCGAAAACTAGAACTGAGGGACCCTTTATTTTAATGACCAATGTTCCACACCAGCAGAACCGAGAATGTACCAAAGTATCTCCAGACTCGATACTTGGAAAACAAGAGACTCATTAGGAAAATATAAACCAGTTGTAAAGCGAGTGATTGATAGACAGTTTTAACTGCCTACCTAATTATTTATGACCTAATATTCACATGGAAACAGTAGCTTTATAAATATGTATATTGTGTAGGTGTGGAGCTTGGCATGTCATCTACTCTACACTTTACAATGTTAGTATGATTGACCTTGATTTAAACATCAACATTCCATTGTCAGAAGACACCAATGTGTGTTAGTAACACTGACCAGTGTAGTAGATAGCGTCATCCCTGTTTCCACCCTCGAGACAATGCCACAGGATCATTTTTGAAAAGTCCCTTCTTCTAAATAAATAGTTAAATCTGTTTAACGACAGAATTATCTAGACGTGTACCCATTTTACTCCATATCAGTGCTTAGATAAACCGCTCAGTAGAGTGTTGCCCTTAAACAATTACTCACACCTACGTAACTGCGGTCAAGTCATGCTAAATGTTACTAGGATATGACCATAAACGAGCGTTAGCCGAACACCCCCGCGGTTCACTGTTTACACCATAGGGAACTCAATTACTCTATTTGGGTATTGAGAATGGAACGAAAGGACTATCTATGTCTCTGTCTAACAAGAACTGTCTATTTATATAGGTTCGTGACAAATATATAAATGGAACAAAGGACCTTAATAAAGTAATTAGGACGGGCATGACACTCTTTATCTACAAGAACAAAGAAAAAATTAAAACAACCCAACTTAAAACATTGACCACAATACCTATCTACCAATTCTGATCAACAACGGTATTATTGTTATAGCTGAGTGTATTTTTTGCTGTTTCCACAAACAAAGCCACATTAATAGATTTCCCATCAATTTTCTTTAACGATGTTTTTATAACCTTTAACACGTGCTTCTATTAAAAGCTCTGAAACTGTAACTTGGGTAATACTCTCTCTTTTGGCCTCTTTTATTAAAACGTTTTGTCTCGAAATTGAACGAAATCATAAATACCCTAATAACAAATAAATTGGGCCCAAGATGCGCCTAGGGAACGCCATAGTAAAAAGTGAAAAAAAATTGATACTGCTAATATCAAGATAACCAAGAAGAATTAATGCTAGCCTTAGAAAAAGGATCGACCACTTTACTGTCTATGGCATGGAGGAGATATTATGAATAGGTAAGTAAGAATAGTTACACATTCATAGATGAACCATACCACGACAAGTGTAGTTCAAGTTGACCATTGAGAGGTAGGTAAGTTGGTCAAAGCCGTAAAGGCTAGCACTTAAGGCTACCAAGGTACTGTCGACAATAAACAGCTCGGTGAAATTGTGCGCAAATCTAACAGTAATTTGTAAATGTAAACATCTATAGGCCCGAGGGTCTCAGGAAACGTTGGCATGCCTCGCAGTCTCGGACCGGTCGCTAGTGACTCATGCGCACTCCTGACTCATCGAGATCAACTTAATCCTCGACAAATTCTTACAAGTTTTCACTTTATTTATTTCATTTTAACAGCAAGTATTTTATGAAATGTTTCAAATTCCTTTAGCTTGGTATACCGTTTTTAAGTTGAAACTAATATTTTTTAAATAGAACGTTTACTTTGTTTTTGCTGATGACATTGGCGCTGGCGGTGAAAAAGCTTTGTGATCATCGTCAAGGTACAGAAAATAAGCGAGGCGCGCAAGCCCTAAATAAAAAAAAAATCTATTTCTTTATAAAAATAACCAATAGTTTTTGTTTAATCTTTACTTCTTTGTTCTCTTCTCCTTTAAATATACATACCTTCATACCCTGGTATCATAGGATGCTTGTAGACTGGATCCCCATTGCGAAACCTTGCGTTAACCACATCGATGTCAGTTTGTGGTGGTCGGTAGATCTGTTCCGATATAATTTTTGTAAATAATTTGCGGTAACTGTTTCATCAAGTATATTACAATTAATCTTATAATAAAATGGGAAATAGTTGAAGTATGCTAAGTTAGGACATCGACTGAGTTAAGCCTGACTCTGCATTTTAAATGCTATTAAAAATCTTTTGGAGAATATGACAGACATGAAAAGGACAAACGATATAGGTATTCGATATAAATATGACTGTGTGAATAAGCTATATTTAGTAAAGTAAGAACTTATATTTAATGAAAGTACCATTTAGCTGGCGTTTTATTGATTTGGTTAATAATAAACCCATACTATATGACTATGGCCTTTACATGAGTTGAATAAATAAACAGATTAGATACACCTACACTAACTAGCAGTGGTAAATTATAATGATAACGAATTAAGTAGGGTTAATTGAAAAAGTCACGTTGACTCCACGTGTGCTGGACTATTTATCTGATCAATAGGTTTATCTTCTGTACCTAGAACACGAGTTCATAATTGTAACTACCTACTAACTGAAGTTATCAATATCAATACATAGTATAAAACAAAGTCGCTTTCGCTGTATGTCCGTATGTATGCTTAGATCTTTAAAACTACGCAACGGATTTTGATGCGGTTTTTTTTAATAGATAGAGTGATTCTTAAGGAAGGTTTATATGTATAATACATGCATATTGCACCCGTGCGAAGCCGGGGCGGGTCGCTAGTTTTATATAAAAAGATCTTATGTGTCTATCTAATTTGCTTCACTGACGGATAGACTGAGGAAAAAATTTACTTTGTTTTTAACCTATGTCTTCTTCTCAATAGTGCACTCTTAACAGAGTGGTCGTATTCATGTTTCGTCCTTAGTGGCTGCCCTCCTCTCCACTTTTTCCTATTTCTAGCATTAGTACCTACTACTACAACTGAAACTATGTATTTACCTCTTCATATTAATTTCTTAGCTCTATCTGAGACAGAACACCAACCTGGAAGTCATCAGCAGTTCTGTCAGACAGTACAAGCCTCTCGGAGTGCTGTACGCTGGGGTCCAGGAGGATCTTGTGAGTTGTGGACCCATAGGTGTTGCCTATGCGGTACTTGTACTCGGGGCAGTGACCGGTGTACCTGTGTATGAAGTTAAGGGGTTTTTAAAGAAATCATTAATAAGAGGAATTAGACTACGTTTAATTCGGTTAAGGTACTAAATAAAATTTAGTACAGTAAAAAGGGTCTGATTAAATAATCCTAACTGGGTTTTTAGGTTTCTACAATCGATTTCACGACACATAAAACCTTACAAATTAATAGACGGTACGTAACATTACCTTTGCCAAGCCCTACATATAGAAATGTCGAAAACAAGCGTTTACGAAAACTTCACGCGTTGTAAATACATAATAAATGAAATCATTTATCATATTCGGACACGCAGTTCAACGCAATGCCCTAAATACATTGTCAACAGACGTACAACACAACAGGAATTACATAACACAGCAGTCCTTATAAGTAAATTCGAACAAACGAACTCGAAGTTCATCAATAAAATACATTTGTAACGCTCTCCTGACATTGTGAATTATGTGGCGTCCAAAGTAACCACCATTACATAATTGGCGCCAATTTTGCAATTTTCAATAATGACAAAATGGCGCTGGAGTTTTAATTTCGTCATGCAAGCACCGTGGTTTATTCCTGGCGACATGAGCCCTTTTTGGGCTCTTAATCTTAATAATAAATGATACTAAGTGTAACCGTAAATTATAATGTTCAAATATGGTCATGAGACATTGAATTCTTGTTGCTTGGTGGTTGAAGCTGTGTAGAACTTGAATTTATGCAGTTACAAGTACAATTATGAAACGTTTACATTATTTATAAATTAATTAATCGAATATTACTGTAAAAACATAACTTTACGTTTTTTATTCAACTAGTTATTAAATGTAAGACTTTCCAACAATTATGAGTCCTGTAATCCGTAGGGTATAAGTACCTAATACCAATTACCGATTGTGATTCCCATATAACCCTGGCTTCTACTTAGAGGGAACACCGAGGTGGTTCTTATTTAGTGTGAAACTGACAGGTACCTTCGTCTTTCTCAGACAAAGAACTCCAAGACGATATTCAAAACAGGCCAAAGGCTTATTGATAATAACTATGAAAATCAGGCTCCATTCCCGACTTCTTGCTAGTACTGGGGATTTATAGGTAGGTAAAAAATCATCATTTTTCAATGTATACAATCAAGACACTGGACTAACCCAGGTATGTAGTGCGGTTGGGCAATGCTGACTAAATCCAGCGCCATTTCGAGTTATTTCTTGCAAAGCCGGAAAAGGATCAACTCATAATTTGCATACAAAAAATGGTTAATAATTATAAAACTCTTGAATTTATTGAACACCACACATTTGTTGATTTTGACGTGAAACTTTGACGTGACTGCTTTTGTTGTTTTAATTGAATTAATGGCTAAAGCGGACGGTTCGTTAGTGTCACTTTTCAAAGATCTTAATCTTCCTGTAACGCAACCTTTTTGTTTCAAAGTTAAACATTCTGAAAGTGAGTTGTTTAACGTTCAAATGTGTAGATACTACAACTTCCACTAGGTACTAACGTTCCATATGTTTACAGGAATATTAATACGGGTTACTAATAATGAGTTACTAATACGACATCGACTGTACCTAATATACAGTTAAAGATAACGAACAGAGACCCCTAAAACCTGAAAAATAATCAGCTTCTTTGGTTTGAGGTATTTGAAAAAAACCAGACGTAATGTCCCTTAGAATTTTAGAAAATTAAATGATTGAAGCACCAAAATATCAGTGGTGTATTTATGTATGCTGGCCATGTCAGGCAAAAGATGTCCTACGTGTTAATGTGTGAGTATTCTGCGTGTAAGTATACCACTATAGTAGCTAGGTGCCACAGTCGTTGTTTCAAGAGACTATGTCCGCCTTTTTTTCAAAGTCCTTGTATGAGGAATAATATGTGTTACGTGATGCATTGCTAAATACATCTAGATTTTAGTGTTATACAATTCAGACAATTCTGTTTACCGTAATGAAATCAGATTAAGAAACAATGCAGTGGAAGGAAATTATTTTCATTGCAAAACAATAGACAGTGACTTATCATTTAAGGAAATGTGTTTATTGAATTAATTTGGATGCAGGAAGTTTAATAATATCCAAAAATCATTTTATGGAATATAATAATATGCATTACGTATTTCAAGAAGTTCAAAACAAAATTGTTCATTCAGTGCCTGCTCAAGCGCAAACGAGCGCAAACGAATCATCGCACGAAGCCTTCGGAGTTCGGACTTCATCGGTCATCGTTCGTACTCTTTCGCAATCCATTCGCTCAGCCCCCATTCTTTCGTTCGGTCGGCCGGGCGCCATATTGAATGTAACCGCCGCCGCGGTCGGGCGTGTTTGGTGGCGCTCCGCACAGTGACAGACGGGAAACGATGAAATCATAACTTTCAAAAACTTTTGTGTTTACAAAGTGTTCAATTTAATATAATAATTCCAATGAACTGTGAAGTGTTCTTACATATTTACCAACATACATTGAAGTTTCGTTATTTATAACTGAGCCAGCGACTTGAAATGCATGCATTCCATCGAGACTGTTGAACTTTTATATTTTTTTTTTCGTTCAGTGTACATTTTGATTCTTATCAAGATTTTTTTTATTGTCATTCACCGTGAACTATGGTTTTGTATATTTGGACATTATATCACATATAAATTATATATCTACAGTGTTATGTGTTGATTAGACTGTGTTATCAAAGTTAGCAGTTAGCAGATTAGTGATTGCCGAAACACTCAAGGTAAATCTCCTTCAAACACATTATTTACTAACCAACATAAACAATATAGATATAAGTCACCAACCGAACTAACAACTACCCCAAAACAAACGCTGCAAGCATCTTAGGTATCTCGAAATCCTTCCACAGATAAAATCGTCAACGACCACAGAAATTCAAATTATCCGTCTAATTAATTTAATTCACAATCCAAGAGATTGCTAGTCTGAACCGTGACCCACTTTACTTCAAATTTTCACTTCTCATGAGTGTTTACTTACAGTCACTTGAGCTGAGACCAGTAGACACACCTACTGATGATCAATCAATATATCTGTTCACTTTAATTATTTTTATATAGAAACACTGTTACAGCTATAAAAGTTTTATATAAATCACTACCTGTTTAAGCCGGTCACCTTAGAACCTCGATTTTTATTTAAATCAGCCTGATTGCAATCAGTTATAGGTAACTTAACACACACAAGGAAAACATTCAGAAATGTGAGGTAATGGGGATTAACTGCTGATCATATATTTACAGCGAAGTTTTGCCTATGAGCCGAATTAAAGGAAGAGGGTGTTTACAAAATACGCAAGAGTTATAAGTAATCTTTCTGAAGAAATATCGAGCAATGTTTATTAACAGTTAACAGATTCGATATCCATAACACCAGAAAATGAAATTTGAGCGATTTAAAAACACGACAATCAATCAAAAGTCGGAGAAAAGACAACGAAAAGTAGACAACTCTATTGAAAATATGAAGTTCTCTTTGGCTGAATATTATTTACAAAATACGAAAGGAAGACGTAATCGTAAACGTTGCGATTGTGGATCATTGCGATGTTGAAGATAAAATCTTGTAAAGCACTCTTTTTAGATAATATCTAGGTTATCTATTAGCTATCAGTTTCGTCACAAAAGACGATGTACAAATCAGATGGCATGCGAGTCTGTGGCAACATATTGGCATAAATATTTAATTTGATACAAACAAATATGTCAAATATTTTCGTGATTTTATCTTATTTCGTTTCTGTGTCAGTTTCGTATCTTGCTAGTTTACTTCGAAATTACAAAATGCTGCGACAAATAACGCGACATTGAGCTAAATACTTCTCGTCACCAATAAATCAAACTAACGATCGATGTAACTGCAAATTTAATTGATTTCGTCAACAACGTTCTGCCAATTATCATTTTTTATTAGTTAGTTGGCCATTTTTGATACCCAAGAAATAAAGAATATAACTAAGTGAACGGTCTAAAGAAAGGCCGCTCTTGAAATAGCCGATTCGTACGATATAAAAGGTGAAAATTCTTAGACCTTAACATATAATTGCCGTTACCCTTTCAATATGAGACAACGCGTTACCAAACAATGAAACTGGCTCCCATTCAGTCTTTAAGTAAAACGTTCCAAAGGAATCCAGTTTCGTAGCCGGGAGAAACAAAACCCCGGGACGGCATCGTGGCGACGTCCATACAAACATGGGTGACAATCACCAACAAACGTATTTGAACCTCACCGCCTTCTAAATAAAGTACAAGATGTGACTAACGACCAACTCACATTCCCGCAAATCGCGTTGTAGAGACTAGACGCTTCTTTGTTTTTGTTATTAGATTTCTATACGCTGCAAATACTTATTGAACAGTTGTCCAAACCACTTTCCAGCTATCAACCGCGATCATTTAAAAAGTCAGCTTCATCTTTTATCTTCGAAATAGATTGCTTTAAGATTAAAAACGGAAAGTATTCGACGTCGCGTCGTTTAATTCAAATTGACTGTTAATAACGAAACTCAATTAGTGTTGATGTTGATAGTCGTGTAATATAAACATAGGTCTTTTTTCATAAGCATAGAGCACATAATCGTTCAGAAATAGTTTTCCGCGTCCCAGCAAGTTTTGGAGAAGACCGGTTTAGAGGAAGTCTCCGAGCGGCGGTTTGCGAGGTTAAAAAAACTGGCTAAGTTTGAATTTGTGCCTTTTGGGGGCTTTGCATCCTCAACAAAAACGTGACCAACGATAATTCAAGTATGTATAGTGCAGGAAACTAGTTGGCGTTAAAACATTAAGTTTGATCAATATTGGACAATCTTCCACTAAAGATTCTTCTTGTTGCTAAGATATACCGGTCAAAACAGTCGATAACGAGTACGGAACTCTAAAAAGAAGACCCGTGTCGGCTGATATTCGAGGTCGCAACCCAATTGGGGACCAGTCGCAGGTACGCTTTTGTAGTACACTTTCTCCCGTGCGTGACGCGCCCAGCCAGACATTTCACTGAGCACCGTCTGCAGGTGCACAGACCACTCAATGATAAACATGCGAATTTTATGATTTGCGAATCATTAAATGATTCGCTAAAGTTACACTTTCACCCAAGAATAGGGGCGCAAAAAATCAAAGGTAAAGTTGCGATTAATTGCGGCACCTTCTTAAAAGTTGCACTCTAGCGATATTTGGAAACAATGTTGACACCGAACAAGTCACCGGTGTCAATGTGTGTCTGAAATAAAAGAGACAGTATATGTCTTGTTAGAAGTAGGTTTTGGGAACAACATTCTAGACCACAGACGTCGGGTCGTACGTATTCAAAGATGACATTTTTAAAATATCATTAACCCCTAACGTCTATGATTCCTGCATTCCTCTTCACAGGAAAGGAACGCCATTAGTGCAGAATAAAACACGTGTTGCCTTGCGTTTATAGACATCCTGTGATTACTAGATGGTACGTTAATGATGAGAATCACATAAAAACTAGTCCAGCGACCGAGGAACAATTGTCTACGTAACCACTTGATCATACTTTCGTTCGTAAAACTGTGCGCTAACACGAACACTCGTAACTTGAAACCGATGAAGTATTCGAGAAGCGATTTGGGCAATCAATTATAAAGATTCCAATAGAAATCGTTATTTAAATTCGCTACGACTCGTTAACAAACAATTATATCGACATGGTGACGAGTTTCTGACATCACTTTGGGAAATAACTAAAGAAATATTATTAGTTGTGGAATTTCAAAAACAATAACGGTTACCTCAGCAGTCAATTTGTGGTGAATATCTGAATATCAGATGGATTGCTTAGCTGTGTAAAGTTTGTTGCTATGACTCACATTATTATAATGCAGATTTTCTTCAGTCACGGCTCGTGTCTTTCATGTGTGTTCATTATCATTTTAAAGAGTTCAGTAACATGTTCCGACAATGGCTAACCATGTGTAACTGGAATAAGTATTTTACGAGTATTCTGCTCGTTACTTTATCTCCTGTCGGCTGCCTAGTTGGGTTTCTATTAGTTAGTCGCGCACCCGGGATCACGACGTTGTAAATTCAATTCCTAGTTTACCTTTTGTAAAGTGAAACTGGGATTATTAGTCTAGAAGCGATCCCGCTTCTTCCGTCACGTATCGAGCCAGGCTTAGGATAGTTGCTACAATTAATCTGTACACACTGCAAAAACTTCAAAACCTATTCAAGATCTTAAGCGTACAATAAAAGGTTGATGTCTCATCATAAAAAGAGACCGACAGCTTAACCCTTAAGCCCTACACTTATTTTACCATCCTATTTTCCTACAGGGGGTGCTCGAGTACCCC